AGCCGCCGTTTTTAGTCAAATACAGGCTTCTCGTTCGCTGCGCTCACTCTTGAGATATCATATTCAACAGTCGAAACAAATCTGGTATTTCCGCGCATCGATGAGATTATTCTCTATGTTATATAGGTATGGATAAGAATGCTATGTGGATACACATAATGGTATAAATAATGAAAAAAATTATGTTAAAAGCGACATACCGTATATTGTTCCAGTTGATTTCGACAAACAGGAATGTAGGGACAAATACTTGAAACACCAAACCCTCGGCCTGTTATGCGGTTTTGTAGAAAACCTGGCGTACAAAACATTTTATATTTGATATCCTCTCATATTTGTATTAATTTAAGTTCCTTTTACAACGTTTATAGATCTTTCAAAGCTTCCAAATCATGAGGCGCACAAGGAAAATATACAAGATTCAAAGTCCAACGGTTTTCACGAAATTTGATTCTTGGCGAAGCCAATACACGCAGTGATTTGATTGGCTCACAACACGGTTAAACGCTTTCAGTGATTGATTGTTGTCAAATCACGCACAGACGCGCAATTATTCAAACGCTAAATACTATATTCAGAAATATACTATGAACTGTAGAGAAAAAAATAAACCCATCCTGACTCTCTATCAAAGGTCGCTACGTGGTATTCGAGAATTCGAGTGTTGGATATCGAAAGATCTTAGAAGTGATGTGAATGCATAAGGTGAATGCTTGCATAGTTATGTTGTATTGGTTGATGAATGAAAGCGGAAAGGTAATTCAAAATAACATATTCGATATCTTGTCATATTGCCTATCTTTATCGTTTTATTAAATATCCATTTGCCATATCAGGTAAACTTAACTAGCTTTCGCTTACGAAGTTATGAACTGATTTCACAAAGTCAGGTCTTACGCTACAGTTTATTATGCAGTGGTTTATTATTCATATTAATCTTTTTCTATAGCGAACATGTTCACCCCAAACAAACCAAACGGCGTTGCTACTGGACTGTTTGTTGCAACATTTTTGAACTGGCTTAAATTAAGGTTTGAAGAAACGATGGGCATGAAGTAGAATCTAATTAATATTTGTTGACATTGTAAATACAACTATGCAAGCAACACTGGCGTTTGAATATTGTTTAATTTTATATAGACAGTGCAGTTCTCTGTGATATACTATATGTACTGTATTTAGGATCTACACTTTTGCAACCCCAATATTTATTTAAAACCAGAACGGTAATTAACTTTTTTGTGCAGAGCTTGGTTTGATTATAATATTTAGCTAATATTGGAATGAGTCTGAATTATTTCATGCCAACATATTGGCGTGAAAATCTATTACGTTGTTACACATATTTG